TGAAGAATATAGAAACTAATAAATAGCTTTTAGGAACATGAGACAATTGTGGGCCTCCTCTGTTCTGAAACCAACTGAAGACAAAGAATGGGAGTTCTACCAAGAGTTCATTTGTCACATTTGCATTGAAAAGGTAGAAAGGTCAGAACGAGGAAGACTTCATTTACTTCCTCATTTTGGGAGCCCTCCCCATGAAAGGGACACCGACCCATTTCAAGGGACAAACCTCGTGTGCTGAATAGATTTTGAAATGATTAGCTTACAAAGCGAGGAATGGGATGTACCAAAATTATGAACATGTATTTGCATTTTGGGTATTCAACACTTGTATGGATAAAAGGGCTCTGTAATCACCTGGAAGCTGCAGTGTGGATTTGGGAGCGATCCCACACACAATAAACACACACTTTCTGACTTTAAACTGTTAGAGAGTTTTTTTCTGTCACAGTTGGATATCGGTACTAGATCAATATCCGTATTTCTTTAATAATTCACGGGTACCCCCTGAGGTGTCCCCTCTGTGCCACCAGGGCCACATGTGAGTCACAGGGTGAGCTGTGGGGTCTTGCTGCCCTGCCCTGACGAATTCCCCGCCCGTTTTTCGCAGCACCAAAACGCAGAATTTCTGCCGGAACGAGTACAACCTGACGGGGCTGTGCAACCGCTCCTCCTGCCCGCTGGCCAACAGCCAGTACGCCACTGTCCGCGAGGAGAAAGGTGGGAGCAGGGATTCTGTGTGGGATCAGGCCTTGGAAAGGGCCCAGGGGGGGTTGGGGTCCCCATCCCCGGAGCTGCCGTGGCAATGCCTGGATGTGGCACTCCGGGGAGCAGAGGTTGGGTTTGGTCGTGGAAGTCTCTTCCAGCCTGGCTGGTTCTGGGGCGGGTGGGTGGCTCTGGGCAGGCCTCAGGGGGTTTGTTCCCTGTTCCCAGGTCGCTGTTACCTCTACATGAAGACCATCGAGCGGGCGGCGTTTCCCCGGCGCCTCTGGGAGCGGGTGAGCTCGGGGACACGGCAGGGACGCAGCTGTGGTGTCCCCACGGAGGGCAGGGAGGGACAGGGGCAGGAATTTCTCTATGGAAAGGCTGCTCAAGCATGGAAGTGTCGGAATCTGTGGGTATTGGTGATTCCAAGATTGTAGAAAATCTCTGTCTGTCAGCCCCACTGCCAAAGCAGAAGCCATAATTCGTCTGTGCTGGTTTCAAGGTTGTTTATTCTGTTTATCTCTAACATGTTCTGCTGCCCTGCCGCAGCTCTGTCCTGCAGGGCAGCGTGTGGGGCTCTGCCCTCAGTGGGATGGTACAAACATTAAATACCACAAACTACCTGTGCTGGATTTACAATAACGTGCCAATATCTGTCACCTACGTTGGACAGTGTGTCCCCAGCCTGAACCAACAGAAAAATGCCAACACCACAGTGAAACATAGAGGGCATGAAGAAGGAGGAAAAGGACAAGACACACCCAATTTCCTCCATCTTGTCCCCTTTGGACCCCTTATCTAGAATCCTAAAATTTTACTTTTGCAGCCGTGCCACACTTAATTATTGCTCATATCAAACACTCAGAGCTGGTAATTGATCCTGTAAGATTGAAAACTTCTCTCCATGGACAGAGATCACAGTCAGTGTCTCTGGGGGCTCTGTCCAGGGGGGTTCCTGACCCCTGCCAGGGTCCCAGACCTGCCAGGGCAGCCAGAGGGAAGCCTTGGATTCCCACATGGAAGCGCCCAGGGAGGTTTGGAATCCCCATCCTGGAGGTGGGGACAAGGTGGGGATCCACCTTGGAGGGCTTTTCCTTAATGATTCAGTGACTCTGCAGCCCGTCCCAAACGTCCCCTTTTTGTCCTGCCGTGTCACCCAGCCCTTCCCCTGCCCCTGCAGGTGCTGCTGAGCAAGAACTACGAGAAGGCTCTGGAGGAGATCGACGAGAACCTCATCTACTGGCCCCGCTTCATCCGGCACAAGTGCAAGCAGAGGTTCACCAAGATCACGCAGTACCTGATCCGCATCCGCAAGCTGACCCTCAAGAGACAGTAAGGGACAGGGCAGTGACCAGGGCAGTGACAACCGGTGGCTTCTGGAGCCACTGCCCCTCTCCTGAGCCGCTGGCGCTGCCGGGACACGGAGCTGGTCCCCGTTTTCCTGAGGGGTTCAGGTGGATCTGACGGGGATGAGCTGCAGGAATGCAGCGTGCAGATGCACTGAGGGATTGTCCTGAGCTGGGAGGGACCCACGGGGATCTCTGATCCCAGTCCTGGCCCTGCACAGAACCCCAACAGCCCCACCTGTGATCCCTGGGAGCGGTGTCCATCTGGGAGCTCCGGCAGCCTCGGAGCCGTGCCCATTCCCTGGGGACAGTGCCCAGCACCCTCTGGGGGAAGAATCTTCCCCTAAAATCCAGCCTGACGCTGCCCTGCCACAGCTCCAGCCGCTCCCTGTCACAGAGAGCAGAGATCAGAGCTGTCCCTCGGGAGGAGCTGCTCCTCCTGTGGGCCCGCAGACCCTTCCCTATCCTTTGGACGCTCTCTATCACCTTGAGCTCTCTCTCATCCCGAGGCACCCTCACCTGAGGACGTTGCAGACGTGTGGGATGCTGCAGCCGCTGCCTGCCAGGGGCTGTGACATTGCCAGTGCCTGTTCCCTGCAGGAGGAAGCTCGTCCCGCTGCGCAGGAAGATCGAGAGGCGCGAGAACCGGCGGGAGGTAAGGAGTGCCCCGTGTGCCCTGGTGCCACCGCTGCTGTCCCCACTGCTGTCCCCACTGCTGTCCCCGCTGCCCCGGGCCTCACCCAGCTGCTCTCTGCTCCCTAGGAGAAAGCCCTGATCGCTGCCCAGCTGGACAACGCCATCGAGAAGGAGCTGCTGGAGCGGCTGAAGCAGGACACGGTGAGGGGCACACGCAGCTCACAGCGCGGGCTGCCCCGTGCTGCTGCCTCGGGCGAGTGGGGGAGCCTGGCTCCCCAAAACACAGAGCCCCACAGCACAAGGGCTCCCCAAAACACAGAGCCCCACAACACAGGGAGCCCCAAAACACAGAGCCCCACAACACAAGTGCTCCCCTAAACACAGAGCCCCACAGCACAAGGGCTCCCCAAAACACAGAGCCCCACAACATAAGGGCTCCCCAAAACACAGGGAGCCCCAAAACACAGGGAGCCCCAACACAAGGGCTCCCCAAAACACAGAGCCCCACAGCACAAGGGCGCCCCAAAACACAGAGCCCCACAGCACAAGGGCTCCCCAAAACACAGGGAGTCCCACAACACAAGGGCTGCCTTCAACTTCTGTGCACAGGGAGCCCCAAAACACAGGGAGCCCCAAAACACAGGCAGCCCCAAAACACAGGGAGCCCCAAAACACAGGCAGCCCCAAAACACAGGGAGCCCCAAAACACAAGGGCTCCCCAAAACACAGGCAGCCCCAAAACACAGGCAGCCCCAAAACACAAGGGCTCCCCAAAACACAAGGAGCCCCAAAACATGAGGGCTGCCTTCAACTTCTGTGCACAGGGCACCCCAAAACACAGGGAGCCCCAAAACACAGGAAGCCCCAAAACACAGAGGCTCCCCAAAACACAGGCAGCCCCAAAACACAGAGGCTCCCCAAAATATGAGGGCTGCCTTCAACTTCTGTGCACAGGGAGCCCCAAAACACAAAGGCTCCCCAAAACACAAGGAGCCCCAAAACATGAGGGCTGCCTTCAACTTCTGTGCACAGGCAGCCCCAAAACACAAAGATTCCCCTCCTGTACACAGGGTGCCCAAAACCCGAGGCCTCCCCTCCTTCTCTGTGCACAGGGAGCCCCAAAACCCGAGGGCACCCCCTGCTCAGAGTGGGGAAGGGCTGATCCACACCTCAGTCTGACGCTGCCCCGTGCAGCTGGCAGTATCCCCCAGCCCAAAGTGCACCTTCCTCCTGTGGCTTAGGGAAAATCCCAATTTTCCTTTCAGTACGGAGACATTTACAACTTCCCCATCCACGCCTTTGACAAAGCCCTGCAGCAGCAAGACGCAGAGAGCGAGAGCGAGTCGGATGCAGAGAGGGAAGAAGAAGATGACGATGATGAGGTAAAGGTTCCAGCCCTGCCCTGGTGCTGAGCTAGGCTGAGAAGAGCTCAGGACAGCTCAGAAAAACCTCGTGGTGGCCTTGGTGGCTCTTCCACGACGCTGCTGTGCTCAGTCCCTGGCTGTGTTCCTTGCAGGACGTGGATAAAAGGGAGTTTGTGGAAGCAGAGGACAGCGAGCTCAGCGACTTTGAGGTGGGTGAAGCACCAGGCACACACTGAGGCTGAGCTGCACGGGCTCCTCCACCTCTGGGGATGGGGAAGAGGCAGCAAAATCAGCTGTGGAAGAGAACGGTGCAGTGGGAGCCCAGCCCAGCTCCTCTGGAGGCAGGGATTGTGGAGTGGGATCTTTTGGGGAAGGAGGAGGTTTAGTTGCACAACCTGCTCTGATATCACTCTGCTCACTCAATTCCTCCTCAGGACATGGATAAGTTGGAGACAAGTGAAGAGGAGCAGGAAGAGGAGGAAGAAGTGGAGAAGAAAGCCTCCCACTCCAAATCTAAAGGGAAAACGCCCCTGAAGGGCCCAGCCAGGAGAAAACGTCCCTACATCGAGATAGAGTACGAGGAGGAAACAGAGCCAAGCACCAAGACAAAAGCAGCCTGAGCCCTCTGCCCCCACTCTGTACTGACTGATGGAGCTCCAGCTGTCACCACACTCTGACTGCAGCATCTGCCACCCGCCTGCACCCCTCACAGCACCCTCAGAACTCCTGGCTGGACACGCCACACCTTTTCTGCAACAACAGCAGGGTCTGTGCCCAGCCCAGGCAATTGCAGTGAGTTTGTACAAGGGGGTGAAGCAGCTCAGAACATCTCCCACCTCCTCTGCTCCAGGAAGGGCCCTGGCCTGGGGGGCTCTGCTGCTCCCTGTAAGGCTGGAGAAACCTCCCATGTGTCTGGGGAGGTGTAGGCGGGACAAGAACGACAGAACTCTCCAATAAATACAGTTTTATTGTACAAAAGGGGGGTGAGCGGTGTCAGGCAGCTCAGGTGCTCTCCTGCACCTTCCTGAGGCACTCCCGCAGCCGGTTCTCCTCGCAGCTGCTGTGCAGCCCTGCCAGCAGCACCTGCAGGGAGCAGAGCAGCATTCCCAGTGCCCTGGCACTCGGGATGGTGCCACCCGCCCTGCCCAGCCCATAGACAGCTACCGAGTCACTTATTGATCCATTATTGATCTGCGGAGGGGGGAACCCAACCTCTGCTGGACTGAGAGGGGAGAGGGCCCTGGCAGCAGCGGGGAGCCCAGACTGACTTTCACCTAGTCCTGAGAGCCAGCAGAGAGCCGAGACTGACCTTCACCTGGCCCTAGGAGCAGCAGGGAGCCCAGACTCACCTTCACCTAGTCCTGACAGCCAGCAGAGCCCAGACTGACCTTCACCTAGTCCTGACAGCAGCAGAGAGCCCAGACTCACCTTCACCTGGTCCTGACAGCCAGCAGAGCCCAGACTGACCTTCACCTAGTCCTGACAGCAGCAGAGAGCCCAGACTGACCTTCACCTGGTCCTGACAGTGAGCAGAGAGCCCAGACTCACCTTCACCTGGCCCTAGGAGCAGCAGGCAGCCCTGGCAGCAGCAGAGAGCCCAGACTCACCTTCTCCTGGCCCTGCTGCTCCGCAGGGAGCCCAGACCCACCTTTTCCTGGCCCTGGCAGCAGCAGGGAGCCCTGAGTTGCCTTCACCTAGTCCTGACAGCCAGCAGAGAGCCCAGACTGACCTTCACCTAGTCCTGAGAGCAGCAAAGAGCCCTGACTGACCTTCACCTAGTCCTGACAGCAGCAGGGAGCCCTGACAGCCAGCAGGGAGCCCTGACTTGCCTTCTCCTGGCCCTGGGAGCAGCAGGGAGCCCAGACTGACCTTCACGTGGCCCTGACAGCCAGCAGGGAGCCCTGACTCTCCTTCACCTGGAGCCCAGACTCTCCTTCACCTGGAGCCCTGACTCTCCTTCACCTGGAGCCCAGCTCACCTTGACCCGGCCCTGGCAGCAGCGGTCCAGCAGGATGAGGCACTGGGTGGCCCCGTGCAGCAGGGCAGCCCTGACGGGCTCGGGGGTCGGGCCCCGCTCGGTGTGAACGTCCCAGAGCAGCCTCAGCAGCGCCTTGAGGAGCACGGGGAGCCTGCAGGGCATCCTGCAAGGGAAACAGCTCATCCCAAAGCCTTCCCCAGCCGGGGGCTGCTGTGGGGCAGGATTGCTGCCAGCACAGGCAGGAGCCTCGGCAGGCCACAGCACAGCCTCTGCTCCACGCTGGTTTCATTCATGCTTTTGGAACAAGCACAAGAAGGGTCAAAATAAGGACCCAGCCTAAAGGTTTTTCAGTAATGCCAGCGAGTATTCGTGGGGCAGATTTTCCCTTAAGATTTCAGGGCTTTTCCTCAAGAAAAAGTAACTTTGGGTGATAAAGTGGAAACGTTGAGGATAGGAATGAAACGTTCGCTTCAGGAGGGGTTTGCAGGACGGCTTTTCCCCCCAGAGAGGTACCTGGGCCAGGCGTGCTCTATGGTGCACTGCAGAGTCTGCAGGATTCCCAGCCTGGCCTCTTCCTCGGGGCCATCAGAGACCTCCAGGTAGCCCAGGATGACTCGCTCCAGCCTCTTGAGGTGCCTCACGATGAGGATGCCGAGTCTGGAGGCACAAACACAGCCTGAGGGGGAGCAGAGATCCCTGGGATCCCAAAAACACAGCCTGAGGGGGAGCAGAGATCCCTGGGATCCCAAAAACACAGCCTGAGGGGGAGCAGACATCCCTGGGATCCCAAAAACACACTGAGAGGGGAGGATAGATCTCTGTGATCCCAAAAACACAGCCTGAGGGGGAGCAGAGATCCCTGGGGTCCCAAAAACACACCCTGAGAGGGGAGGATAGATCCCTGGGATCCCAAAAACACAGCCTGAGGGGGAGCAGAGATCCCTGTGATCCCAAAAACACACTGAGAGGGGGAGCAGAGATCCCTGGGGTCCCAAAAACACACACTGAGAGGGGAGGATAGATCCCTGGGGTCCCAAAAACACACTCTGAGGGGGGAGGATAGATCCCTGGGGTCCCAAAAACACACTCTGAGGGGGAGGATAGATCCCTGTGATCCCAAAAACACACTGAGAGGGGAGGATAGATCCCTGTGATCCCAAAAACACCCTGAGAGGGGAGGATAGATCCCTGTGATCCCAAAAACAGACTCTGAGAGGGGAGGATAGATCCCTGGGGTCCCAAAAACACAGCCTGAGGGGGAGCAGAGATCCCTGTGATCCCAAAAACACACACTGAGAGGGGAGGATAGATCCCTGTGATCCCAAAAACACACCCTGAGGGGGAGCAGAGATCCCTGGGGTCCCAAAAACACACCCTGAGGAGGGGGCATACCCTTGGATACCAAGCCCAGGGCCCATCCCTGTGCTCCCAGCCCCTCAGGAAGGTGGGTACAGCCCCAGCTGCAGCTTCCAGCCCCTCAGGAAGGTGGGTACAGCCCCGGGTGCAGCTCTCACCCCCTCAGGAAGGTGGGCAGGGTGTCCCTGTCCCGTGTCTCACCTGGTGACAAAGGCAGGCAGGGTCCCTGCGTAGACCCTGCGCAGCGCCAGCCGGTGCTCGGCCTCCATGTGGGTCAGCAGCAGCTGCAGCACCTGGTCCCAGTGGGACGTGGCTCTGCCGTGGCCCTGGCGCCGCTGGCACCGCTCCAGGATGGGCAGCAGGTCCAGCAGGCACAGCAGCACCGCCTGGTTTGGGGACGTGGGGAAGCTGAGCTCGTGTTGTCTCCAAAAAAACAACGAATCCCAACCCTGTGGGCACCCACGGCTGAGCTGAGTGCTTCAAAGCTGTTCCCTGCCCCACTACCCTACCTACCCCAGGGCACCCTAAACCCAGAGCAGCCGTCCTACCTGGAGGAGAGGCGCCTCCCGTGAGTAGAGGTGGTTGTAGAGGGCGTGGAACACCACCTGGGCCCTGTTGAATTGGCACAGATCCGCTCCTGGCTGCAACAACACAGAGCAGGACGTTACTCCTGGGCTGCACAGAGGCCTAAAGCCTGGGGGGTGTGAGGAACTACAGGTTAAACCCTGCCACGACCTTCCCAAAATCTGGGGAGTGTGAGGAACTGCAGGTTAAACCCTGCCACAACCTTCCCAAAGCCTGGGGAGTGTGAGGAACTGCAGGTTAAACCCTGCCACAACCTTTCCAAAGCCTGGGGAGTGTGAGGAACTGCAGGAAATGCAGGTTAAACCCTGCCACAACCTTCCCAAAATCTGGGGAGTGTGAGGGACTGCAGGTTAAACCCTGCCATAGGCTTCCCAAAGCCTGGGGAGTGTGAGGGACTGCAGGAAATGCAGTTAATAAACCCTGCCATGCTTTTCCCAAAGCCTGGGGAGTGTGAGGGACTGCAGGAACTGGAGGTTAAACCCTGCCATGCTGTTCCCAAAGCCTGGGGAGTGTGAGGAACTGCAGGTTAAACCCTGCCACAACCTTCCCAAAGCCTGGGGGGTGTGAGGAACTGCAGGTTAAACCCTGCCACGACCTTCCCAAAGCCTGGGGAGTGTGAGGGACTGCAGGTTAAACCCTGCCATGGGCTTCCCAAAGCCTAGGGGGTGTGAGGAACTGGAGATTAAACCCTGCCACAACCTTCCCAAAGCCTGGGGGGTGTGAGGAACTGCAGGAAATGCACTTAATAAACCCTGCCATGCGCTTCCCAAAGCCTGGGGAGTGTGAGGAACTGCAGGAAATGCAGTTAATAAACCCTGCCATGCTCTTCACAAAGCCTGGGGAGTGTGAGGAACTGCAGGTTAAACCCTGCCACGACCTTCCCAAAGCCTGGGGGGTGTGAGGAACTGCAGGAAATGTAGTAAATAAAGCCTGCCATGCGCTTCCCAAAGCCTGGGGAGTGTGAGGAACTGCAGGAAATGCAGGTTAAACCCTGCCATGCACCAGCAAAAGTTAGGAACCTGACCTACACGAGGGAATGGCTGGAGCTGGGTTAGGGCAGGGTCAGGCTGGATTTTAGGGAAAGGTTCTTTCCCCAGGAGGGTGCTGGGCACTGCCCAGGCTGCCCAGGGAATGGGCACGGCCCGGCGGCTGCCGGAGCTCCAGGAAACGCTCCCATGGGTGAGATTGTTGGGGTGTCTGTGCGGGGCCAGGGCTGGGCTCGGGTCCCTGCGGGACGTTCTGTGACTGTCCCTCCCTTCGCAGGACACCCGCAGCGGGCTCCGCGCCCTCGCTCACCACGTTGAGGACGATGTGGTGCAGGCAGCGCACCCCCAGCACTTTGTTCTCCTCCTGGAAGTCGTCGGAGAGGAGCAGCGCGGGCGGCAGGACCCGCTCCAGGTGCGGGCACAGCCAGGGCCGGCAGACGCGGAGCAGAGCCCAGGAGAACACGTCTTTGGAGGCAGGGTTACACTTCCAGGTGTCTCTGCAGAGACAGGCACAGCTCAGGAACACGCAGTGCTCATTTCCCCTCCACCTGAGGCTCTCGGCTGGCAGCAAACCCTGACAATCATCCCCCAACACCTTCTTCCATTTGTAAAGCTCCTGATTTTATACTTATCATTTCTTGAGCCTCAGAATTTTCCCAGTATTTCCTACAGAGACCCTCCAAAACCGCCACGCTCCCCTCCCCACTCACTTGGTTAACTCCTGCTTCAGGAGCCCCATCACCGCTCCAAATCTTCCTTCCTCATCCCCCTCCTTTCCCCGCAGGAATTCCTCCACGGACCCGCAGCCCGCAGCCCGGACCAGCCGCTCCAGCAGCTCCTGAGCCACCGCCCGGCTCCTCGCCGAGGTCCAGGGCCTCTCGTCTTTGTGCGTGACGGCAAAGATGAACGCGTGTCCCAGCACCGGGAGCGGGACGGGTTCCCGGGCACCCTCCAGCTTCCGCAGCAGCAGCAGGAACGCGGCGCCAACGCGCTCCGCCCGCTCCGCCGCGGCGGCCGGCGGCGTGTCCCGGCCCCGCGGCTCGGCCCCGTCCTGCTCCCGGCGCGGCGGAGCCGCGAGGCCGCGCAGCGCCGCCGCCAGCCCGGCCAGCGCCGCGGGCCCCGCCGAGCGCAGCGCGCCGGGCTCCGCCGCCGCCAGCAGCGCGGTCAGGTCCGGCAGCGCCGCGGGCTCCGCCGCCGCCAGCAGCGCGGTCAGGTCCCGCAGCGCCCCGGGGCCCGCAGCCTCCAGCTCGGCCGGCGCCGCGGGCTCCGCCGCCCCCAGCAGCGCGCCCGGCTCCCGGAGCTCCCCGGGCCGCTCCCGGAGCTCCCCCGGCCGCTCCCGGAGCTCCCCGGGCCGCTCCCGCCGCTCCTCGGGCCGCTCCCGGAGCTCCCCGGACCGCTCCTGCCGCTCCCCGGGCCGCTCCCGGAGCTCCCCGAAGCGCTCCCGCAGTTCCCCGGGCCGCTCCCGGAGCTCCCCGGGCCGCTCCCGCAGCTCCCCGGGCCGCTCCCGCAGCTCCCCGGGCTCCGCCGCCTCCAGCAGCCCGCTCGGCTCCCCCAGCGCCCCGGGGCCCCGCTCCGGGCTCCCGCTGCCGTCCATGGCCTCACACGAGCCCCGGCGGGACCGGCCCGCCCCAAAACCTCGCTGCGGACGCAGCAGCGCCTGGCGGGAGCGGCGGCACCCGGGAGACGTCAGAGAGCCCCGGACACCTCAGGGATAACCGGGACACATCAGGGATCCCTGACAGATCCCCGGGAACCCCTCACACACCCCCGGGATCCCTCACACCCCCGGGATCCCTCACACACCCCCGGGATCCCTCACACACCCCCGGGATCTCTCACAGCCCCGGGATCCCTCACAGACCCCCGGGATCCCTCCAGCCCCGGGATCCCTCACAGCCCCGGGGTCCCTCACACACCCCCGGGATCCCTCACAGACCCGGGGTCCCTCACAGCCCCGGGGTCCCTCACAGACCCCGGGGTCCCTCACAGCCCCGGGATCCCTCAACCCCCGGGATCCCTCACAGACCCCGGGATCCCTCCAGCTCCGGGGTCCCTAACAGACCCCCAGGATCCCTCACAGACCCCAGGGATCCCTCCAGCCCCGGGATCCCTCACACAGCCCCGGGGTCCCTCACAGCCCCGGGGTCCCTCACAGACCCCCGGGATCCCTCACACACCCCCGGGATCCCTCAACCCCCGGGATCCCTCACAGCCCTGGGATCCCTCACAGCCCCGGGGTCCCTCACAGCCCCGGGATCCCTCACAGACCCCCGGGACCCCTCACAGACCCCCGGGATCCCTCACAGACCCCCAGGACCCCTCACAGACCCCCTCACGGCCCCGCTCCCGCCACCCGCACAGCGCGCGCGAACTGTCGCAAAGCACCGCCGGTTGCCGCAAAGCCGATGGCGGGAGGGGGCGTGGTCTCTCGCGCATAAATTAGCATCGCTAATTCACGGCGGCGGAGAGCGGCGGGGCGGCCGTGCGGCCGTGCGCGGCAGAAAAAACGGGAACGGGACGGACGGGAGGAACGGCTCGGAGGGGATAACGCAAACAGCGGGGAAGGCTGAGCGGAGCGGGTGTCGCCGTGACTTACAGAGCAGCGGCGCGGCGGTAGGAGCGGGCGGGGCGAGCGCTGCCGCGATCCTTCCGGTTCATGGAGATGATGAATGGGAGCGGCACGCGGCTGCGTGACGTGTGCGCCCTGCGTTACGACATGGCACAGTCCCGTCTGACCGCCGGGGGGTCCTGACGTCACGCTGACGTCACTCTTTGTAGCGTGCCAAGAGCAGAGACACGTCACGGCTGGGCGCGGGAAATCCCGGGATACGTCATAGCTGTGATGTCATAGCTGTGATGTCATAGCTGTGATCGCATAATCCTGGGATAGGTCAGACTGGGAGATCCCGGGATACGTCATAGCTGTGATGTCATAGCTGTGATCGCATAATCCTGGGATAGGTCAGAGCTGTGATCCAGAAATCCCGGGATACTGAATAGCTGGGAGCCTGGCTCGGGAGATCCCGGGCTACGTCATAGCTGTGATGTCATAGCTGTGATCCAGAAATCCCGGGATACTGAGCTCGGGAGATCCCGGGATATGTCATAGCTGTGATGTCATAGCTGTGATGTCATAGCTGTGATGTCATAGCGGTGCTGTTATAGCTGTGACGTCATAGCTGTGAGGTCATAGCTGTGAGGTCATAGCTGTGAGGTCATAGCTGTGAGGTCATAGCTGTGATGTCATAGCTGTGATGTCATAGCTGTGGTCGGGAGATCCCGGGATAGGCACAGCTCGGGAAATCTGGGGATATATCATAGCTGTGAGTCTGGCTTGGGAAATCTCGGCATAGTCTCAGCTGTGAGCCTGGGCACAGATCCAGAAATCCCGGGATAAATTATAGCTGTGAGCCTGGCTCGGGAAATCCCGGGATAAATTATAGCTGTGAGCCTGGCTCAGGAAATCCTGGGATATGGGATAGCTGTGAGCCTGGGCATGGCTCGGGATGTGAGCCTGGGCATGGCTCAGGAAATCCTGGCATAAACACTGCTTGGGAAATCCCGGGATAAGGAATAGCTGTGAGCCTGGCTCGGGAAATCCTGGGATATGGGATAGCTGTGAACCTGGCTCAGGAAATCCCAGGATATGGAATAGCTGTGAGCCTGGGCATGGCTTGGGATGTGAGCCTGGGCACGGCTCGGGAGATCCCGGGATACGGAATTGCCATGAGCCTGGCTCGGGAAATCCTGGAATAGGTCATAGCCATGGGCCTGGGCATGGCTCGGGAGATCCCGGGACAGGCACGGCTGGGAAATCCCGGGATATGTCACGGCTGTGCTCCTGGCTCAGGAGATCCTGGGAATTTCCAGCCGGGAGCTCAGCCGGGTCCCCAAAGCACCCGCGGGGACGGGGATTCCCTCCCGATCCGGGCCCGCACAGCCCCAGAACCGGCCCCGGCCTGTCCCGTGGGCCGGGGGTTATCCCGGTTCATCCCAGGCCCATCCTCAGCATCCCTGAGCATAAGGAACACATCCCAAGGGTTATCCCGGTTCATCCCGGCATCCCTGAGCACAGGCTCTATGACGTCACCACCACGTCACTTCCTTCTCGCATTGATAATCCGTGGAAATTAGCAAATTAATCAAAGAGGGCGCGCACAGCCCCGGGCTCTCTGTGACGTCACTGCTGATGTCACGTTCTCTCAGACGTGTCAAAAATCACCGGGAATGGGCAAATGGGGGGGGGTCCCCCTGATATGGGCACAGCCTGGGGGGTGGCCGGACCTGGAGGGGTCAGTGATGTCACTGCTGACGTCATCATCTGCTGGGTGTGTGAAAAATTGGGAAAATTGGGAAGATCGGGCGGTTCTGCCCTGATTTGGGCACAGTTTGGGGGGGTCCTGGCCCCGGGGGGCAGCAGTTTGGTGCTATTTTGGGCACTTTGGTGATTTGTCGCAGCCAGCAGCGTCCCCTCCTCGGGCACCCCGGGCTCCCCTGGCCTGTCCCCGCAGCACCCACGGCTCAGACGGGCTAAAAATCATCCATTTAATCCAAATTTTTTTACACGAAACTGTACAAGCCCTCTGCCCCGCGCAGGTCCCAGGGGGCTCGGCTACAAAAACAAATCCGTGCGGCAAAGGGGGGGCAGGAGCAGAGCCCCACCCCACCCGGGGCTCCGCTTCCCGCGGGGAATTCTGGCCCCGGACAAACCCCGCGGCCTCGGGGGGACAACCCTGTTATAAAAGAAAATTTGTCCAGCCAAATTTAAACTGAAAAAATAAAATATCTATTTTGCAATCCAATTCTATCTAGCCAGCCACAAGGAAAGAACAGAGCCGAGCCCGGGGTCGGCACCAGAAGTCAGCCTCAGCAGAGGTTTCCTCTATGCCCACACCTCCATCCTGGCACCAGCGGTTTTTATAGGGAAAATTCCGCCTGAGGCCAAGATTTCAGCAGTCAGGCTTTTCTTCTATTTAGAGTCCATATGTTAATGAGATTTTCTTTTTTTTTGGTGATGAAGAAGAACAAATCAGTGTCCAGTGTTGGTGAATCCCTTGGTGGAATTTACGGGAACGCTGCATTCACATGGATCTGCCCGAGGATTTCCATGATTTCCATTTCCATGATTTCCATCTCGGGTCGTTTATACGATGATCAGTGCCTGGGTGTCCCGTATCTCCCAGCCATGGCCCATCTCCCATCTCCCGGCCCGGGGGGCGCGGGGGATCCCGCAGGATCCCGCAGGATCCGATCCAGCCTCACACCAGCTCGTCCAGGAGGGACCCGCGGGGGGCGCGGGGCTCGTTGCACATGGGGCACACGCAGCGCACCTCCAGCCACTTCAGCAGGCACCTGCGGGCAGGGATTTGGGAATTCCCGAGTCCCGCCGGGAATGGCAGGCAGCTCCGGGCAAGAATTTGGGAATCCTGATTCCCATCGGGAATTGGAGGCAGCTCCGGGCAGGAATTTGGGAATCCTGATTCCTATCAGGAATTGGAGGCAGCTCCGGGCAGGAATTTGGGAATCCTGATTCCTATCGGGAATTGCAGGCAGCTCCGGGCAGGAATTTGGGAATCCTGATTCCTATCGGGAATTGCAGGCAGCTCCGGGCAGGAATTTGGGAATCCTGATTCCTATCGGGAATTGCAGGCAGCTCCGGGCAGGAATTTGGGAATCCTGATTCCCACCAGGAATTGGAGGCAGCTCCGGGCAGGAATTTGGGAATTCCCGATTCCCACCAGGAATTGCAGCCACCTGCGGGCAGGAATTCGGGAATTCCCATTCCCGCCGGGAATTGCAGGCGGCTCTGGGCAGGAATTTGGGAATTCCCATTCCCGCCGGGAATTGCAGGCGGCTCTGGGCAGGAATTTGGGAATTCCCGATTCTCACCAGGAATTGCAGGTAGCTGCGGGCAGGGATTTGGGAATTCCCGAGTCCCGCCGGGAATTGCAGGCAGGAATTTGGGAATTTCCGATTCCCACCAGGAATTGCAGCCACCTGCGGGCAGGAATTCGGGAATTCCCATTCCCGCCGGGAATCGGCCGCTCCCGGCCGCACTCACTCTCTGTGGAAGGCGTGCTGGCACGGCAGCACCCCCAGCTCCTCCTGCAGCCCAAAATCCTCCAGGCAGACGGCGCAGGGCTGCTGTGGGAGGTGAGACGGCGGCTGAGGGCGGCTGTGAAACGCCACGGCTCGGGAAATCCCGGGATACCTCACGGCTGTGCTCCTGGCTCGGGAAATCCCGGGAGTTTCCAGCCGGGAGCTCAGCCGGGTCCCCAAAGCACCCGCGGGGACGGGGATTCCCTCCCGATCCGGGCCCGCACAGCCCCAGAACCGGCCCCGGCCTGTCCCGTGGGCCGGGGGTTATCCCGGTTCATCCCAGGCCCATCCCCAGCATCCCTGAGCACAGGGATTGTGTCCCGAGGGTTATCCCGGTTTATCCCACCCAGCATCCCTGAGCACAGGGAACACATCCCGAGGGTTATCCCGGTTTATCCCAGCATCCCTGAGCACAGGGAACACATCCCGAAGGTTATCCCGGTTTATCCCAGCATCCCTGGGCACAGGGAACACATCCCGAGGTTTATCCCGGTTCCTCCATCATCCCTGAGCACAGGGATGTCTCCCGAGGTTTATCCCGGTTTATCCCAGCATCCCTGAGCACAGGGAACACATCCTGAAGGTTATCCCGGTTTATCCCAGCATCCATGAGCACAGGGAACTCATCCCGAAGGTTATCCCGGTTTATCCCAGCATCCATGAGCACAGGGAACTCATCCCGAAGGTTATCCCGGTTTATCCCAGCATCCATGAGCACAGGGAACTCATCCCGAAGGTTATCCCGGTTTATCCCAGCATCCATGAGCACAGGGAACTCATCCCGAAGGTTATCCCGGTTTATCCCAGCATCCATGAGCACAGGGAACACATCCCGAAGTTTATCCCGGTTCCCCCCAGCTCCATCCCCAGTATCTCTGAGCACAGGGAACACATCCCGAGGGTTATCCCGGTTTTCCCCCAGCCCACTCACCCCGCGCACGTTCAGCCTGCGGGCATCGCCCCTCAGAACCACCTGCGGGAGAGAAGGAGGGGCAGATCTCACACCAGGATCTCACACCAGGATCTCACACCAGGATCTCCCACCAGGATCTCCCACCAGGATCTCGCACCAGGATCTCACACCAGGATCTCCCACCAGGATCTCACACCAGGATCTCCCCGGAGGGGGCCGGGAAGGGGCGGGATGAGCCCGGGGGTTGGTTCCGGGCAGGGTGGGGCTGGTTCCAGCCGTGCCAGCGCTTTGGCACGGGCAGGACCGGTCCCCGCTGTGTCCCCCAAGCAGCCCCGGCTTTACCTCCTGGTACCCGAAGCGCTCGCTCCGCGCCTGGTGCCGCAGCTTGCTGGGGAGGGACAGAAAGGCACCGTCAGTTTGGCACCAAAAATACCCGGGAGGCACCGAAACCGAGCGGAACGCGGCCCTCCCGCCCGGCCTTTGGCTCCGTTCCTGCGGGCCCGGGATTTCTGCGCCTTCCGAGGCGTTGGCAGGGCACGGAGCGCCGGGTCCGCAGCGCTCCGCAGCTCCCGGGCCCGCCGGGACCTCGGCCGGGGAAGGGAGCCTGGCACAGAACCCCGGGCACGGCCTCTCCTCCAGCCCCGGCCCCAAAAATGCCCGAGGGATGCCGGGGACACGGCAGGGCAGGGCTGAGCCGGACCTGCAGCAGCAGCAGCTGCAGCCTCGGTTTTTGGGGTTAAAAATAGCAGGGAAAGGCACATCCTCCCTCTCCTTTTGCCCGGGAAAACAGGAGCCCCTTCCTGCGCTTCCTGCCCTGCTCCGGGGGTTTGTCCCTGTTTGGTGGGACAAAACAGGATCTGGGGGCGCCCAGGGACACCGAGCCCCCGGCTCACCCGATGAAGTAGCAGCAGAGGATGAGGCTGAGCACGAAGATGAAGGCGCCGGTGCCGAAAATGAGCATGTAGATGTTGAGGGGCAGGTCCTGGAAGGTGACGGGCGGCATCGTGCAGGATTTACCGGGATAAGTCAGCCCCAGGCCGCAGGAGCACCCTTGGGGGGAAGAGAAATTCAGCGTTTCGGTGGAAAAACGTGAGAGCAGAGAGAGGCTCTGCCCCTCCCAGAGCTCGCCCAGGGGGCAGAAAGCAGCACCAGGACATTGTCTGTGGGCATGGAACAACCGGGGCACAACCGGGGCAGAATTGGGGCAGAACCGGGGCACACCGGGGCACACCGGGGCACAACGGGGCACAACCGGGGCACAACCGGGGCACAACCGGGGCAGAATTGGGGCAGAACCGGGGCACACCGGGGCACAACCGGGGCACAACGGGGGCACGCACAACCGGGGCACAACGGGGGCACAACCGGGGACGCAACCGGGGCGTCCAGGGACCCCGAGCAGCCGAGGGAGGAGCGGGGAGGGATCGCGCACCCCGCCCCGGCTGCCGGGGGTGCCCAGGGATGCCCGGAGATGCCCGGGGGATTCCCGGAGGTTCCCGGAGATGCCCGGAGATGCCCGGGGGATTCCCGGAGGTTCCCGGAGATGTCCGGAGATGCCCGGGGGATGCCCGGAGGTGCCCGGAGATGCCCGGGGGATGGCCGGAGATGCCCGGGGGATGCCTGGTGATGCCCGGAGGTGCCCGGGGGATGGCTGGAGATGCCTGGGCATGTGCGGGGGATGCCCACGGGACGGCCAGGGGATGCCCCGTCCCCCCGCAGCCAAAGCCCCCCTTCCCGGGCAGCAGGAAGGGGGCACCCCCTGCCCACCCAGCCGGCGCCTCCCCGCGCTCACCGTGGCACCGCTGGAACGGGGGCATCGGGCGGCTCGGCTCGGCTCCTTCGGGCCGTGGCCGTGCCCGAAAACCCCGCCCCGGCCCTGCAGCCCCCCCGGGGCCGCCCCCGGCCCGCCCCCGGCCCGCAGCACCCCCGGCGGGTCCCTGCCCCGCTGCCAGGGCATCAGCTGGCCCGGGTGGCACCCACCCGGCCTCGGGCACGCAGCAGCCCTTGGGGGCTCCTCGGGGGGCTCGGTGGCAGGTTTGGGACAACATAAGTTAAATATTCCCAAAAATGTCCTTCTTGAAAGGGTTTTCCTCTCCCTGGGGTGGAATTCCCAGAGAGCTGCGGCTGCCCTTGGATCCCTGCGAGTGTTCACGGAGCTCCCGGGGGTGGTGGGAGGTGTCCCTGCCATGGCAGGGCTTCGATGGGATGAGTTTTAAAGTCCCTCCAACCCAAACCGGTCTGGGACTGTGACACCCAGCCCAGGCCTGGGGACACCAGTCAGCTCAGCGGTGACAGTGGGGTGCTGGCACCGGTTCTGGTGTGCCCCAAGGCACGGAGCTGTCCCTGCACGGCCCCAGCTCCCTGTCCCCCCTTTCCCATAATCCCAGCCCAGCTCCAGGTCCCTGTCCCCCCTTTCCCATGATCCCAGCACAGCCCCAGGTATTTCTCCTCACTTTTCCCAGATACCAGCACAGCCCCAGGTATTTCTCCTCACTTTTCCCAGATACCAGCACAGCGCCAGGTCCTTGTTCCCCCTTTTCCATGATCCCAGCACAGCCCCAGATCCCTGTCCCCCCTTTCCCATGATCCCAGCACAGACCCAGGTATTTATCCCCACTTTTCCCATGATCCCAGCACAGCCCCAGGTATTTATCCCCACTTTTCCATGATCCCAGCACAGCCCCAGCTCCCTGTCCCCCCTTTTCCCATGATCCCAGCACAGACCCAGGTATTTATCCCCACTTTTCCAGGATCCCAGCACAGCCCCAGGTTTTCCCATGATCCCAGCACAGCCCCAGGTATTTCTCCTCACTTTTCCCAGATCCCAGCACAGCTCCAGGTCCTTGTTTCCCCTTTTCCATGATCCCAGCACGGCCCCAGTTATTTCTACTCCCTTTTCCCTGATCCCAGAACGGCCCCAGGTATTTCTCCCCCCTTTTCCATGATCCCAGCACACCCCAGGTCCTTGTCCCATCTTTTTCCAGGATCCCTACATGGCCCCATGTCCCTGTCCCCCCTTTTCCATGATCCCAGCACAGCCCCAGGTTTTTCTCCTCCCTTTTCTCGGATCCCAGCACAGCCCCAGGTCCTTGTTCCCCCTTTTCTCGGATCCCAGCACAGCCCCAGGTCCTTGTTCCCCATTTTCCATGATCCCAGCATGAAGCCCCAGGTTTTTCTCCTCCCTTTTCTCGGATCCCAGCACAGCCCCAGGTCCCTGTTCTCCCTTTTCGAGGATCCCAGTGCTGCCCCGGGCGCTCTCCGGAAGCTCGGGAAGAATGGAGCTATAACGGGAGCGGGAGGACAATGGGGGCTGCAGCCGGCAGGGCCGGGGCCACCCGGGCCACCAGGTCACCCTTCCCGGCCTTGGCACCCACCTGGGCTCAGCTGGGTGACACAGGGTCTGCCAGCCCTGATGGGTGACACAGGGACTGCCAGCCCTGACGGGTGACACAGGGACTGCCAGCCCTGACGGGTGACACAGGGACTGCCAGCCCGGCTGGGTGACACAGGGACTGCCAGCCCTGACGGGTGACACAGGCACTGCCAGCCCTGATGGGTGACACAGGGACTGCCAGCCCTGATGGGTGACACAGGGACTGCCAGCCCTGCTCTGCTCCCCACCAGAAGCCCCCCTTAGTCCTGAGTGGGGAACCCCAGGCCCGGCCCTAAGCGGGATCTGAGGTTTGGGCACTGAGCAGGGGCTCAGATCTGGGTGGTATCTCAGGTTTGGGCACTTAGTGGGATCTCAGCTTTGAGTGGGATCTCAGGTTTGAGTGGGATCTCAGGTTTGGTGAGGGGCTCAGGGTTGGGCACTGAGCAGGGCCTCAGGGTTGGGCAGGATCTCAGATTTGGGCAGGATCTCAGGTTTGGGCACTGACCAGGATCTCAGGTTTGGGTACTGAGCAGGATCTCAGATTTGGGCACTGAGCAGGGGCTCAGGTTTGGGCAGGGGCTCAGGTTTGGGCAGGGGCTCAGGTTTGGGCAGGATCTCAGGTTTGGGTACTGAGCAGGATCTCAGATTTGGGCACTGAGCAGGGCCTCAGGGTTGGGCAGGATCTCAGATTTGGGCAGGATCTCAGGTTTGATCCCTGGACTGAGGCTTTGGGGCACTCGGGTCCCTCTTGCCCCAGCACTGGGGTGACGCCCTGTCCCCAGTCCGTGCCAGGTGCCAGCCTGGGCTGTCCCCGGGCACACGAGGCACATCCAGGCTCTTCCTTAGCGCTGCCTTTATTTCCACAGGGCGGCACGAGGCGCGGGGAACACCCGAACACCGCGGCGGGAGCTGGCCTGGGCCCACACACCACACCTGACATCACCACGGACACACGGCACGCACGACACGGGACACACAGCGCTGTCCTGGCAGCGAGGGACACAAATGCCAGCGGGGACAACAGAGCCTTGGAGGTTCCAGCACGGCGTGGAGCAGCCGGCGAGGCGGGGCCGAGTCCCTGCGGAGGCGCCGGGGAGCGAGCGGGCTGGGAAGGAGGCCATGGCCAGTTCTGGGTGCAGAACTGCAGGTGCAGGGTCTGGGCTGGACCCCCTGAGCTGGGGGGGCTGCGGGTGAGCCGCGGGCAGAGCTCACACGGCTCCAGCTCCTCAGGAGCTCCTCTTGAGCCGCAGGGCGTTGTCCAGGGCCACCAGCTGGCGCAGGAAGCCGCGGTTGGGGATGATCCCGCGGTGGTCCTTGACCGTCTTTATGGCTTCCACCAGGGGCATGTGGTGGCGGATCATGAGGTAGGCGAGGACCAGGGTGGCCGACCTGCTGACCCCGACGGCACAGTGTACGAGGATCCTCCCTGGGGGGACACGGCGGCTGCGTCACGGCAGAGCCAGGAAAATCCCACATTTTCAGCCCAAAAACCGACTGAGCACCCGGCTGTGCCCTGGAGCACCACGGCGGGTGGGCTGCAGCTGGCAGGGGGGGAGGGCTGTGAGGAACCGAGGTCACCCTCGTGGCAAAGGGCGTCAGTGTCTCCTGGTAGCCCAAAATGGACAGAGCAGGCCAGCAGCAGCTCGGGACACGGGCTGGGGCTGTGAGCTGAGGGGACAGGGCCCTCAGGCAGCCTGGTCCCTCCGGGGAGGAGCTGATGCCATGCAGGGGACAGCACTGGGGTCAGCCCATGGGGGGACAGCACTGGGGTGATCCCATGAGGGGACTCCATTGGAATTATCCCATGAGGAGACACCATTGGGATCATCCGATGAGGAGTCATCAGTGGGATTATTCCATGAGGGGACACCACTGGGATCATCCCATGAGGACACACCATTGGGGTCATCCCATGAGGAGTCATCAGTGGGATTATCCCATGAGGGGACACCATTGGGATCATCCCATGAGGGGACTCCGTTGGAATTATCCCATCAGGAGACACCATTGGGATCATCCGATGAGGAGTCATCAGTGGGATTATCCCATGAGGGGACACCATTGGGATCATCCCACGAGGAGGCACCATTGGGATCATCCCATGAGGGAACTCCATTGGAATTATCCCATGCAGGGGACACCATCAGGGTGATCCCATGAGGAGTCATCAGTGGGATTATCCCACAAGGAGATACCATTGGGATTATCCCATGAGGGGACACCTTTGGGATTATCCCATGAGGGGACACCATTGGGATTATCACATGAGGGGGCACCATTCAGGTGATCCCATGAGGAGACATCATTGGGATTATCCCATGAAGAAGATGTCATTGGGGGGATCCCACAAGGAGACACCATTGGGGTGATCCCATAAGGGGACACCATTGGGATTATCCCATGAGGAGACACCACTGGGATTTATCCAATGAGAAGACAGCACTGGGGTGATCCCATGAGGAGACACCATCAAAGTGATCCCATCCAGGGGACACCATTGGGGCAATTCTGTCCAGGTGACACCACTGAGGTCATCCCATGAGGGGACACCATTGACATTATCCCATCCAGGGGCAATCCCATCCCTTGAGGCAATCCCATATTTGAGGGGACATAATATGAGGGGACACCATCCCAGCCTGGAAACACCTTTGTTTCCCAGGATCCTTAACAACAACCACCACCAGACCACCACCCCAGCTCCCCCCTTCCCTTCTCCCTCTCCTCCCAGACCCTTGCCCGGGGACCTTCGTTGAGGGCCTGGTGGATGAAGTCAGCGGCGGGGTAGAAGTAGGGGCTCATGTCGAAGGAAGGGGAGTCGTGGGCCTCGATGCCCAGGTAGCGGATGCCCGTGCCCTCGTAGTAGTCGGCGCCGCCGCGCCAGCGGCAGTGCGAGGCGTTCAGCACGTGGGTGATGCGCAGCTGCACCAGCTCCCGGCGGTTGGACGCGATGTCCCTGCAGCCACAGCAGAGGGGACACCTCAGAGCACGAAAAGTGTCCCAGCACGGTGGAAAGGCTGTCCTGGATAAACCTTTCTGGCTCACAGAGCTGGATGTAAAAATCTGGCGGATTTTTGGGATTCTTGGGTTTTATGGCAATCTCACAGCCCTGGCTCTGTGGACACCCTCCCTACACATCCCTGTCAGCTCCTTCCTCCTTTGTCCCAGCTTTTTTCTGCAGCCACAGCAGAGGGGACACCTCAGAGCACGAAAAGTGTCCCAGAAGGGTGGAAATGCTGTCCTGGATAAACATTTCTGGCTGACAGAGCTGGATGTAAAAACCTGGCAGATTTTTGGGATTCTTGGGTTTTAAGGCGATCTCACAGCTCGTGGACAGCCTACCTGTGCCCACCCTGGCTGGGCAGAGCTGGGACCTCCCTGCTCAGCTCCTTCCTCTTCCATCCCCACGCTCCTCACCCCATCCTGCTCTGCCTCACCTTCCCCAAAGAATCACGGACTCCCTTAATCTTCAAATCACTGAATTACAGAATCACAGAATCCCTGAATCCTTGAATCACAGAATTGAAAAATTCACAGGATCACAGAATCCCCGAATTTCAGAATCACAGAATTCACAGGATCACTGAATTACAGAATCCCTGAATCACAGAATCCCCAAATCCCCGAATCACAGAATCCCTGAATCACAGAATCACAAAATCACTGAATTACAGAATCACAGAATCCCCAAATCCCTGAATCACAGAATCTCCAAATCCCTGAATCACAGAATCACAAAATCACTGAATTACAGAATCGCAGAATCCCCAAATCCCTGAATCACAAAATCACTGAATTATAGAATCACTCAATCACAGAATCACTGGATCACTAAACCAAGCCCAGAAACTCAACTCAACCCTGGAACCCAGTGCCACATCTAGTCTGTTTTTAAACACCTCCAGGGATGATGACTCCACCACCTCCCCGGGGAGAACAATCCAGAACTTTATCACACTTTCAGTAAAATCTTTTTCTTAATATCCAACCTGTATTTCCCTGGGTACAGCTTAAGGCTGTGACCTCTGGTTCTGCCAGTGCTGCCTGGAGGAAGAGACCGACCCCACCAGAGTCCAGCCACCCTTCAGGAGCTGCAGAGTGACAAGGTGCCCATGTCCCCATCTCAGATCTCCCCATTTCTCCCCATTTTCTGGAGCTTCCCCCTGTGGAAGAGGTTTTACAGCGACTTCTGTGAGCCAGAGAGAAGTATTATCAGAGGATCTGCGTTTACCCCTGAAAGAATTTCCTATGAAGGTCATTGACACAGGAACCAAGAAAGAAATAAGGAGAAATAAGAGAAACCCACAGCTGCCTATTCCAGTGTGCACTTTGTCTGTGTCTCTTGACTGACGAGTAAACTTATGAGCTTTGTAAGAATGTATAAAAATGCTACAATAAAACAAAAGTGAAAATGCGTGCCACAATAAAATGTGAAAATGCGTGCTACAATAAAATGAGAGTGAAAATGCGTGCTACAATAAAATGAGAGTGAAAATGCATGCTACAATAAAATGAGAGTGAAAATGGTTGCTTTGTACTGTCTCCGTGTCCACCACACCAGCCCCCCGGGCCGTGCTGAAACGCAGATGAAAAATCAAATCCTACAACTCTAATAAAGATTTGTAGGGAAAAATAAACAATATGTTTATTCACAGCACTGGATGCATGTGGGGACTCATTGCCCTTCAATGGACATGCGCACTCCTGAGAACTCCTGATGATTTTTTATTACCCCTCACTAATTTCTATATGCATAGAATGTCACAATAGGCTCATGCATATTCATTCTGTTGATTTTGTATTACACTTACAGCTAGTTACACTTGTACTCAGTTTTTGTCAGAAAGTTCAGAAAGAACTCCTGGGTCACTCTGCCCTGTCTGTTTTAAGTTTTGAGGAGTCTTTCTTATGTCTTATCTTTTTAGTGTGGAAATTTGCATTCTCTTCTTCTCAGCTGAGCACTGCAGTTACCAGACTAAACAGCATATTTTACTTACATCAGTAAGCTCAAAACCGTGCATTTCACCTAAATACAAACAGTTTTCTTAAATTTCCCACCGTGTCTCCGTGCCGCTGGCCACACTTACTGGTCTCCCAGGTAGAGGCCTGGCCACACCTCGTCGGCGTGGTTGCAGGCGGTCTTGCCCGTGTACAGCAGCCGCTCCAGCTCGAAGACGCTGAGGATGGGGTGGCTGCCGCGCTCGTCCCGCGGGGCGCGGCTCGGGGACCTGCTGCTGGGCCTGTAGAGCCTGGAGAGGAAAGCCATGGGCGCTGCCCAGCCCCACAAGGCATGCCTGGGGGGGCGGCGAGGCCGGGCGGGGGTCTGGGGGTCACCTCGGCTGCCGCTGCCACCCACGGTCCTGTCGGGGAGCAGAGCAGAGGAATCGGCTCAGGGGAATCGGCTCCTCGCCGAGGGGCTATTCGGCTGTTTTCAGCATGTATGACATGTCCTTAGGAAGAAAATGCTGGGCAAGCAGCAAAAAAACCAAAATTGTCAATGTTAAATCCACAACACTGACCACAAATACACCAAATCATTTCCTAACGAGCCTTTCGGCGATGATGCGTCACCAAACAGTGTGCCAGCAGATCTGTGTCCTGAATTAAAGGCTCTGGTGACTTCGGTTGGCTGGGGGTGTGCAGGGCAGGGAATGGGGCTGGGAGCACCAGGAGGGGCTGAGGGAGCTGGGAAGGGGCTCAGCCTGGAGGAAAGGGGGATCAGGGGGGATCTGGTGGCTCTGCACAACTCCTGACAGGCGGGGACAGTTGCCCTGATTTTTAGAAGTGTTATGTTTTCTTTTATAGTTCTTTTGAAAGTTTTAAAGATCTCGTAAAACTTCTTCAGCCTTCTGATCTGTTGGAACTCAAAATGTCCCTCAGACATTTTTGGAGGTTTCAGGCTCAGGTCAGAAGCATTTGAGACCCTGGCAGGCAGCTGGAAACAGCTGTGATTTTGGGTTTGAGCCATGGAATGATTTACCAACCTTGCAGGAAGAACAAGAAGTCACAAAAGTTTAGATATTAGAGTAGAAGTAGTCACAGAGTAGAGGGAAGAATTTTTGAGTGCTGTACAGGGGGGATTTGGTTTTGTACATGGGGGTCAGAGGTTTAAGATGGAGGGATTTGGGCCTGCCCTGTCCTTCCTCTTTCTCCTTCCTCACCTCCATGTTCTTGGTGATGCTGGCACTCACAGATTGGTTTAGAGTAGAAAAGCACCATTTAATATAGGTAATGGGCATTGGGGAAAAACTGTACCCATGTAACACGTAATGTACCATATAAAAGATAGAAAAGCACCATTTAATATAGGTAATGGGCATTGGGGAAAAACTGTACCCATGTAACACGTAATGTACCATATAAAAGATAGAAAAGCACCATTTAATATAGGTAATGGGCATTGGGGAAAAACTGTAACCATGTAACACGGAATGTACCATATAAAAGACAGCAGCAGCCCTGGGCGGGGGGAGAAAAGAAGAAATTAGGGGATAGAGAGGATGTCAGGGTGTGTGTGTGCCTCTGCCTGAGCTGTGAGCAAACCACAGCAGTCCCAGAAGAAAATCTTTTAGATAACTTGCAATAAACTGCCTTGAGACGAAACAACAGAGACTGCTGAGCCTTTCTTTGGAAGCACAGCTTGGAGGAGAGGTTTTTTCACCACACAGAGCCACCCCATGACCTAGGGTGGTCTTCGACACTGATCTGCTTCCATATTTCTACTGGAGTTCTCAGGCGCTGTTGATGTAAATAATGATTGTTTTGCATTCTTCTTTGCGGGAGAATTGATGGGCTGTTGGTTTGACCAGCGTGGTTGGAGAGGTGGCAATTCCATCCTCCAACCCACTGTCACTTTTGGAATTCTATATATTGTGAGGTCAGAAATAAAATTGTGTCTTTTTATCTCTTGAACTCACCAAGCTTCTGTGTGCTCATTTCATGTCCAATAGCGACAAGGAGGGACCCTGTGGCTCTGCACAACTCCCTGACAGGAGGGGACAGCCGGGGGGATTTGGGATTTGGGATTTCTTCCCAGGGAACAGGGACAGGAGGAGAGGGAACGGCCTCAGATGGGGCAGGGGAGGCTCAGGGAGGACACCAGCAGGAATTTCCCCATGGAAAGGGTGCTCAGGCCTCGGAACTGCCCAGGGAGGTGGTGGAGTCACCAAGCAACAGCAAGGTGGCACTCAGCGCTTGGGGCTGGGGACAAGGCGGGCACGGCTTGGACTCGATGAGCCTGGAGGGCTTTTCCAGCCTCAGGGATTTTGGGATTCCGTGGTGCTCTGTCCCTGCTGAGGCCAGGACGCCCACCCAGAGCATTGCCAACATCCCTCGTGTGACAGAGGAGCAATACCACGGCCGGCTCTCACAACTGGAGAAATCGTGGGTGTGTGTTAGGAGTTTTATAGATTTATGGTTATGTTTTACTCCCCTTGTGTTGTTATTATGGGGTGGCCTAGGTTTGGGACATTTGGGAGGGTCCAATCAAGGTGTCAGGAAGTGATCTCCACCCCTGGACAGAACTTTGGGAGGAGCCAAAGGGTTAAAAGGCAAAACCTCCATTGTGTGAGTGAGCACATGGTGGGAAAAATCCTAATATTTTGTCTATTCAGTCTCCTGCTGTATTTTTTTATAAGGTTTTAACAAACCTTTTTAAATATTTTGGAAACGAGTAGCACTTCTCACACTTCCAAGAAGGAAAACTGCTGGGGAGAACTTCCAGCTGCCAGAACCCCGAGCCTCCCCAGGCCCAGCGTGGCTCCAGCCCCACGGCTTTGGGCCGAGGCCACCTTGGCAGGAGATGCCCTGCCCAGGAGCCAGTCCCTGCTCTGCTGCCAGGGGACGCTGCCAGCTCGGGGCTGGCGCTGCCAACCCGCGCTGGGAGCTGAGGAAAGGCGGCCAGGCCCGGGCACGGCACCAGGAGCCGGCAGGAAAAGCCCCAGACAGGTGGAGGATTCCGTATGGCACCGGGCGGCCTGGCCACGGCACAGAGCCCTGCAGGGAGGGTTTTACCCTCCACGGGCACGGTCCTGCGGCTGCTCGGGAGCACCCAGGGCTGCTTTGGGCTGGGAAGAGTTAACTCCAGGCATGAGCAAGCTCCTTTTACCCAGCAGCTCCTCCAGGGCCCGGGTGCTGTCACACATCTGCCCGGGCAGTTCCCGCTGCCAGATGTGGTCAGAGTGGCCTTTCTGTGCTCCCTTCTCTGCTGTCCGTCCCTGAGGAGGAGAAATTCTCCTTCTCACCTCGCCGCTGCTGCCCTGGAGCCTCCCCTGCCCTGGCAGCGCTGCCCGGCTGGGCTGGGGAGGCGCAGCGACCTCGGGCTGACATTCCCGGGACCTCCTCGGTGCCTCCTCCGTGACATTCCCGGGACCTCCTCGGTGCCTCCACCGTGACATTCCCGGGACCTCCTCTGTCCCTCCTCCGTGACATTCCCGGGACCTCCTCGGTCCTTCCTCCGTGACATTCCCGGGACCTCCTCGGTCCCTCCTCCGTGATATTCCCGGGACCTCCTCGGTCCCTCCTCCGTGATATTCCCGGGACCTCCTCGGTCCCTCCTCTGTGACATTCCCGGGACCTCCTCGGTCCCTCCTCCGTGATATTCCCGGGACCTCCTCGGTCCCTCCTCTGTGACATTCCCGGGACCTCCTCGGTCCCTCCTCCGTGATATTCCCGGGACCTCCTCGGTCCCTCCTCCGGGAGTGACATTCCCGGGACCTCCTCGGTCCCTCCTCCGTGATATTCCCGGGACCTCCTCCCTCCTCCGGGAGTGACATTCCCTGAACCTCCTGGGTCCCTCCTCCGTGACATTCCCGGGACCTCCTCGGTCCATTCCCTGAACCTCCTGGGTCCCTCCTCCGTGACATTCCCGCGGCTCCGGCCAGCCGAGCAGGAGCAGGGAGCCCCCAGAGCCTCCAGCCACATCTTGGCAACGCCGAGAAGAACGGGCCAAGGGCAGGGGGGAGCTCGGAGGGAGCCCCCGGCATGTCCCCATGTCCCTTCCCCGGGTGCTGCCAGCCCTGCCCAGTGTCACCCACATCCTCCCTGCTCCCTGGGCTCCCCCAGGCTGGGAACTGGGGCTGGGGCAGGGCCGAGCTCCGGGAACCTTGTGTGACCTTGGTGGCAGCACGGCCGCGCGTCCCCAGCCCCGGGCAGCGCCGGAACCCGCGGCCGGATCGCGGGGAGAGCTGGAACGGCGCAATTCCAGCCGCTCTTATGGCTGGAAAAACAGCCACCCCCACCCTGCCCGGGCTCCCGGGCCGGCCCGCAGCCCCCCGAGGTTCGGGGAGAGGCTCTGCTCTGTCCTGGGGGATGGGGAGATGGTCCTGGGGGATGGGGAAATGGTCCTGGGGGATGGGGAGATGGTCCTGGGGGATGGGGAGATGGACCCTGGGATGGGGGAATGGTCCTGGGGGATGGGGAGATGGACCCTGGGATGGGGAGATGGTCCTGGGGGATGGGGAGATGGACCCTGGGATGGGGGATGGACCCTGGGATGGGGGAATGGACCCTGGGATGGGGGAATGGACCCTGGGATGGGGGGATGGACCCTGGGATGGGGAGATGGACCCTGGGATGGGGAGATGGTCCTGGGGGATGGGGAGATGGTCCTGGGGGATGGGGAAATGGTCCTGGTGGATGGGGGATGGACCCTGGGATGGGGGATGGTCCTGGAGGATGGGGAGATGGTCCTGGGGGATGGGGGATGGACCTTGGGATGGGGGATGGACCCTGGGATGGGGGAATGGACCCTGGGGGATGGGGGATGGACCCTGGGATGGGGAGATGGACCCTGGGATGGGGAGATGGACCCTGGGATGGGGGGATGGTCCTGGAGGATGGGGAGATGGTCCTGGGGGATGGGGGATGGACCCTGGGATGGGGGAATGGTCCTGGGGGATGTGGGGGTGGTCCTGTGGGGCACAGGAATGATCCGGTGGGGTGCAGGGAGAGGTGCAGGACGCAGGGATGATCCCATGGGACACAGGGTTCATCCTGTGGGGTGCAGGAATGATCCCGTTAGGTGCAGGAATCACCCCGTGGGGTGCAGAAATCACCCGTCGGGTGCCGGAATCACCCGTGGGGTGCAGGGAGAGGTGCAGGATGAAGGGATGACCCCGTGGGGTGCAGGAATCACCCGTGGGACACAGGAATCACCCGTGGGGTGCAGGAATGATCCCGTGGGATGCAGTTATCACCCCGTGGGACGCAGGAATCACCCGCGGGGTGCAGGAGGGAACCGTGCCGAGGCCCCCCGCCCCGGGGACACCCCGGGGACACCCCGGGACACGCGGGGGGGATTCGGGGAGCCCCGAGCGTACCTTGGCGAGGGTCGGAGCGGGAGCGGGGATCAGCTCCGGTCGGCCATGTCTCGGCGCCGCCGGAGGAGGAGGAGGAGGAGGAGGAGGAGGAGGAGGAGGAGGAGGGCTGATGTCGGAGCTGCTATTTTAAGGCACGGCACGGCCGGGCACGGCTTTGTTTGTGCCAGGCGGGGCGCGGAGGGGACGCGCGGAGGGGACAGCGACAGCGACAGCGACAGCGACAGTGACAGCGACAGTGACAGCGACAGCCACAGCGACAGTGACAGCGACAGTGACAGCGACAGCGACAGCGACAGCCCCAGGGTCCCCAAATGCTCCGCGCCGCCTCCTCCGCACCCCCCGGAGCTGCGCTGAGGACGGGAATCCCTCCCGGCCGTCTCCGGGAGATGATTTTTGGGTTTTTTTTTTGGTTATTCTCAGGTATTTTTGGTATTTTTGTTTCCCAGGTAATGTTATTTTGTATTTTTGGGGTATTTTTTCTATCCAGGCAATGTTATTTTGTATTTTTTTGGTAGTTTTTTCTTCCCACGCAATGTTATTTTGTATTTTTTTGGGTATTTTTTCTACCCAGGCAATGTTATTTTGTATTTTTTTGGTATTTTTTTTTTCTTCCCAGGCAATGTTATTTTGTATTTTTTTGGTATTTTTTTCTTCCCACGCAATGTTATTTTGTATTTTTTTGGGTATTTTTTTCTATCCAGGCTATGGCTTTGTGTATTTCTTGTTTTGGTTATTTTTGGTTTTTTTCTATTTTTTCTTCCCGAGTAATTAGTTTTTTTTTTTTATTATTATTTTTGTAATTTTCTGTTATTTTTCCTTCCCAGGCGATTTAAAAAAAAAATGTTTTGTGGTATTTTTTGCATTTTTCTTTCCCAGGCCATGTTTTTTTGTATTTTTGGGGGGTATTTTTTCCCTTCCCAGGCAATGGGGTTTTTTTTGTATTTTTTGGGTATTTTTTTGTATTTTTCCTTCCCTAACAATGGGGGTTTTTGGTAATTTTTTGGTTATTTTTTCTATTTTTCCTTCCCAGATGACTTTTTGTTTTGTATTTTTTGGGGGTATTTTTTTTTATTTTTCCTTCCCAGGCAATGGGGTTTTTTTGTTTTTTTTTTTTTTTATTTTACCTTCCCAGGCAATTCTTTGTATTATTTTGTTTGTTTGTGGTTTTTTTAAAATATATATATTTTTTGGGATATTTTTTGTATTTTTCCTTCCCAGGCTATGTTTTTTTGTATTATTTTGTGTATTATTTTTCTATTTTCCCTTCCCAGGTAATGAGGGTTTATTTGTAATTTTTTTGTATTTTTTGTATTTTTCCTTCCCAGGCGATTAAAAAAAAAATTTAGGGTTTCTTTTGTATTTTTCCTTCCCTGGCAGGGTCTTTTGGTAATTTTTTGGTATTTTTTCTATTTCTTCCTTCCCCAGCGACTTTTTTTTTTTATTTATTTTTGGGGGTATTTTTTCTATTTTTCCTTCCCCAGGCAATGGGCTTTTTTGTATTTTATTTTTGTTTTTTTTTTTTTTTAATTTTTCCTTCCAGGCAATTTTTAAAAATATTTTTTTGGATTTTTTTTATATTTTTCCTTCCCAGGCAATGTTTTTCTGTATTTTTTTTCCCCTGCTGACCTCATCTCCCTCCCCTTTTAGTACATCCACAGCTCGGTGAGGTTTTCTCCATGCACAAAATAAATAAACTTTGGATTTATGTGGGAATATCAAAGCAGGGAATGGCTTGGCTTGGGAAGGACCTTTAAGTTCACCTTGTCCCATTCCAAATTGAGTCAATTTACAAATTCCTGTTGAAGTTAGGGAATTTTTTTTTTTTTCCAGAAGGGGGGAAAATAAAAAATAAATTAAAAAAATTAAATAAAATAATTTAAAAAATATTTTAAATTAAAAAAAAAAGAAAGAAAAAACCATGCATCCCGAGATTCCCCCGTGCATCCCAAAATTCCCCCACGCATCCCGAGATTCCCTCACGCATCCCGAGATTCCCCCACTCATCCCAGGATTCCCCCACTCATCCCAAGATTCCCTCACGCATCCCGAAATTCCCCCACTCATCCCGAGATTCCCTCACGCATCCCGAGATTCCCCCATTCATCCCAAGATTCCCCCACTCATCCCATGATTCCCTCACGCATCCCGAAATTCCCTCACACATCCCAAGATTCCCCCACTCATCCTGAGATTCCCCCACTCATCCCAAAATTCCCCCACTCATCCCAAGATTCCCCCACTCATCCCAAGATTCCTCCACTCATCCCGAGGTTCCCCACACATCCCGAAATTCCCCCATGCATCCTGAGGTTCCCCCACTCATCCCAAGATTCCCCCACTCATCCTAAGATTCCCCCACTCATCCCAAAATTCCCCCACTCATCCCAAGATTCCCCCACGCATCCCGAGATTCCCCCACTCATCCCAAAATTCCGCCACTCATCCCAAGATTCCCCCACTCATCCCAAAATTCCCCCATTCATCCCGAGATTCCCCCACTCATCCCGAGATTCCCTCACTCATCCCAAGATTCCCCCACTCATCCCGAGGTTCCCCACACATCCTGAAATTCCCCCATGCATTCTGAGGTTCCCCCACTCCTGCCTGCTGGAAACGCAGGAATTTCTCCTGTTTTTTTGCAGCTGAGCCTGTGTTAATTTAATCCCAGGATTTAATCCCAGGATTTAATCCCAGGATTTAATACCAGGATTTAATACCAGGATTTAATCCCAGGATTTAATCCCAGATTTTATCCCAGATTTTATCCCAGATGTTATCTCAGATTTAATCCCGGATTATCCCTGAGGGATTGAGCAGGGAGGTCCTGGGCAGGGCTGCTTCTCTCTCCCAATGGGATTTTGCAGCTCTGGGATGCTCCAGTTTAGGAAAAACCTGCCCTGAAGCCTGGAAAAGGGGGTTGGTTCTCCTTAACCCGCAGAAAAATGGAATTTTCGCCTTGGCCTGGCCACTCTCTTCCAAAAAAAGAGGCACTGAGAGTGTGAAAAATGCGTACTTTATGGTTGGCTCTTCGCAAATGTTACAATGAATATCGTATGTGTAATGTTAGAAAGTTATGCTGTATTAATTCTCTTAAGTGGTGTGTTAAATATAGTTTTAGGTTACAACAGAATGTTAAAATAGAAACTCTGTGGTGTAAGAGATTTTTTACTGGCTCAAGAAAGAGATGAGGTAATAAAGAAACTCTTTGCACAGAGATAACAGCGAAAGGGCACATAAAGAGTTACAGCTCCTTATCAGAACAGACAAACATCCTTCCACCTCCTCTCTGTCTTCATGGAACCACCAGGATTAAGGGGAAGAAGTTGGCAAAAACCAGAAAAATTCTTAATTTGCAAGGAATTTATGCACCATGTATGAGATACATGAATATGCAGCAGGCTGTTGCTTTTAAGGGTTATTCCTTTGTTCACAAGGTGTGGTTTTGGCAGCTCAGTGCCCAAAAACATCCG